CAAGAATGGTCACAAAGGGTCGTGTTGTAAAACGAAAAAAGTCAATAGCCGAATTAGACAAACAAATTCAAATATCAAATCAGATAGAGATTTGAGGAAGTATGTGACGACTGAAATATTTAAAAAGAATATCAAATTTCAACTCGATTCGGGTTCAGATTTAACAATAATGAACTATAAAACATGGAAAATTTTAAAAGGGCCTACAATAATGAAGTCAACGAAACGCGCTCGAACAGTGACTGGAAAGGAAATTAAATTCGAAGGCGAGGTTGTACTTCCCATGAAATTGAACAGGATAGTTAAAAAATAAAAGTTTTCATTCTGAAAAATGGAGAAAACTTGATGGGTACAGATTTTATTGAAACATTTGAATTGTGGGATAAACCGTTAAACTCATTCTGCAGAAAAGTAGAAAGTAATACGCAAACAAGACAGGACATTAAATAGGAATTAAACAAAAAGTTTCCGGAAACTTTCACACCTGGTCTTGGAAGATGTAACAAGTTTGAAGTCAAATTTGAATTAAAGGAAAATACTATGCCAATTTTTAAAAAGAAACTTAACGTGCCTTTCGCAAGTGTAGAGAAAATTAACGAAGAACTTGATAGGTTGGAAAAAATGGGAATTATTTCGAAAGTAGAATCTAATTCATGGGCTGCGCCGATTGTGTGCATAAAAAAGAAATCAAACCAAGTCAGAGTCTGCGTTGATTTTTCGACAGGGTTGAACTCAGTAATTAAGGACTACCATTACCCGTTACCGAGTCCGGAGGAGATTTTTAACAAGCTAAATGGTGGAGTTATATTTTCAAAAATTGACTTATCAGATGCCTATCTCCAAATTCCCGTCGAAGAGGAATGTTCGAAGCTACTAGGGATAAACACGCATAGAGGGTTATTCAAGTACAACAGGCTTCCTTTTTTGTATTAAAGTGGCACCAGCCATTTTTCAACAAGCTATGGACGTCATGTTGAATGATTTAGACTTTGCGTGCGCTTACTTAGACGACATCATAGTAAGGAGCGAAACCGTTGACGAACATCGAGAGCATCTCAATCAAGTATTTAAAAAGATTCAGGACTTTGGATTTAAAGTCAAAGAGTCAAAGTGCGAATTTGGTTTGGAGGAAATTAAGTATTAGGTCACATAATCAACAAAAATGGCAGATGTCCAGATCCGGAAAGGTCCATTGCGATTAGAGACATGTCGACGCCCACTAATGTTGCGATGCTACAAAGTTTTCTGGGGCTTGCAAATTATTATCAAGCGTTCATTAAAGGAATGTACAATTTAAGAGCTCCGTTGAATGAACTGCTAAAAAAAAACAAGGCATGGGAATGGACGGTAGAATGTCAGAAAGCCTTTGATGAAATAAAGAAAATGCTTACGTCCGACCTCCTTTTAACCCATTACAATCCAAAACTGGATATTGTAGTGGCAAATGACGCTAGTTCATACGGGATAGGAGCGTGTATTCAACACATAATGCTAGATGGTTCTAGAAAACCAATTGCACACGCTTCGAGAACTTTGCTCCCAGGAGAAAGAAGTTACTCCCAGATAGAAAAAGAGGCACTGAGTATCATTTTGCCATAACAAAATTTCACAGATACATCCACGGCAGACATTTTATGCTTGAAACGGATCATAAACCTCTGATCACTATTTTGGGTTCAAAGAAAGGGTTACCCGTCTATACGGCAAATCGTCTGTTAAGATGGGGAACCATTCTTCTCAATTATGATTTTCACATAAAGCACCTATCATCCAAAAATATAATTCATGCGGATAGTTTATCAAGACTCGTACCGAATCAAGAAGAAAGATTCGAAGAATCAATTATTGCAAATATCAGAGCAGATTATGAGGTGAAAAGCATGGTAAACAACATTGTAAGAGAGCTACCGGTTACACTAAAGGAAATTAAAAAAGAAGCTAAAAGCGATGATTTCATTTAGAAATAAAAAAGCAAAATGGTAGCAAATGACCAAAAAAGTGCAGGAGATTTATTCAATAGGTGGCGGAGTTTTATTATATGGTGAGAGAGTAGTAGTACCAAAAAGTTGCAGAAAAAAAGAATACTACGGGACTTTCATATGGGTCACCCGGGTATTAATAGAACAAAAAGCTTAATGCGAAGCTTTGTATATTGGAAAGGAATGGATGTGGATATCGCAAACATGGTTCATCGATGTAAAGGGTGTGCGTTAGCAGCTAAGGCACCACCTATAGTACACAAACCATGGCCCAAGACGGATCATCCGTGGACAAGATTACACATTGATTTCGATGGTCCAGTAGAAGATTTTTACTACTTAATAGTGGTAGATAGTTTTACAAAATGGCCGGAAGTACTACGCTGTAAAAAGCCTACGTGCAATACCACAACAACTTTTTTGCATGAACTATTTGCACGGTTCGGTGTGCCAGAGTGTATTGTGAGTGACAATGGTACACAATTCACTTCTGAAGAATTTAAGGAATTTTGTGAGTTATATCATATTAACCACATAACGACGCCGCCGTATCATCCGAGGTCCAATGGACTCGCAGAAAGATTTGTCGATACTTTAAAGCGAGCTCTGAAGAAAGCCTCAGGAGTTCCAACGGAAAAGGCGCTTCAGCAATTCTTACAAGTATACAGAATCGCGCCAAACCAGAGAACACACGCAAACATGGCACCAGCTGAACTAATTTTCGCTAGGAAGTTAAGTCAGTGTTTGACAAGCTTTTGCCAGGAAAAAATAGAGTAAAGAATACCATGTATACAGCAAGAAAAAGATACAACCCCGGAGAGAATGTGTTTTTCAAGTGCTACAAAAACAACGTTGAGTTCTGGGAGCGGGGCATAGTGGACAAGAGAATCGGTGACCTGATTTACATAATTAAAGGGCCGAAGAATACTCATAAAAGGCACCAGAACCAACTTAAAAAATGTTACGTTATAGAGCATGAAGAGAGTATACCGGATGAGGAAGAAGATCCCATTGATATAATGTATGATATGTTTCAGGTAGAACCTCCACAGAATACTCCTGAACCAAGAAGATCCGGTAGGAAACGGAAGTTCACGGACCCATTGGACGTGAATCCAAAACGGAAAAAATATTAAAATTAGGCGGATGGACATATGCATATGAAGTATGCAAATGGATCTACAAAGAAATAGCATAATCATCAACCCATATAGGAAGCCAATTTGAAATCCAAAAGGGATTCCAAGGCTTGGGGGGGTTGTGGTAGGATCCACCTAATTTGCATAGTGGAGTACCGACCATATAAATATGGTTGATACCGGGAAGACGAGGGGAGGAATCAAGAGATTCAATCCAGAGACTCTGCCCGACTGCGACTCAGTCAACACATTCTCCACGAACGGTCTTCCCAAGAATATACAAAAGACTATATGTAAATATTGTGTACACTTTCTTGTTTCAATACATTTTGTTCTAAGTACATTTTGTGTTGTATTATTATTCCATGCATTAGTCAAGTTTCAACAGTAATATATAAGCCATAAAATTAATATCTAAATGTGTTTGCATGCGCCCTTGTGTAAGAATTCCTAGGTAATTTTTCTGAAAATTGACCATCAGTTTCATTTTATAAACATTCCTGGGGCCAGAACTTCGTAAATTTTCTTTCTCTTGACTTCTCTTTATTGTCAATACATCTATGAGAATGTTTTCTTAATAGTTGAATCATACGTTGTGTGATTTATCAGAATTCAGTCTCAGTTTACTAGTCACTATTCAGTCTCAGTTTCCTAGTCACTATTTTAGGTATTTTAAGCATTCCATTTTCCTGTGGTCCCGATAGCCATTTGAACATTTAACTGTTAATCCAGTCATGTCAGCACCTGCATACTTTCTACACTATTTTGTTTTTCCTTAATAAAAAGAGTGAGGATTTTTAGACCAAAATTTTATACTTTCTGTTGATTTAAATTACTTTTACGACTGATAAGTACTTCTAACCTTTTGATAAGATTCAAAATTCTCATCCGAAATCTTAGTCTTTGTTCCAAATTCACACAGGTTTAGTTAGAGTATATACCGGCATAATGTCGAATAGGAGTATAAGCTTATGTTTAAAATTCTGAAATGTTTATGTTAATTCAAATTCAGGCTTATATTCGCCAGATAAGTCAAATTGAAAAATAATGCTGCATCCACACTAAATCAGACTATCAAATTTAAAGGACTAAATAAACAAATGTGACCCATGAAGAGAGATATTGCACCAACTTTACTACTGAAGACAAAATCTAAATATATCATAAGTTTGTTTAGCTTCCCGATTGTTGATTTGCTGGAGGGCAGAAGCTACCAATTTTTTAAAGCATTGCCTTTAAATCTGTTTTATTATATATTTGTGTTGTATTATCTACAAGTCTTTCTTTCTATATTATCTTTGATGTTAAATACAAGATTTTTAACTACTGGGTTAGAACTTTTGTTTCTTATCTGTTACAATGCTTATGGAAGTAGTGTATCACGGAATAGGACAGTTTTCCAATTGATATTTGTGTTTGTGGATAGGTGGACTTCGTAAAATACGCACATTTAGGATGTAATATATTAACTACAATTAACAAAACAAGAATGTGTCTTGTAAATAACAGATTGGAAGCCGGATTGACTCGTAAAACATGGGACATTCATACACATAAAGCTTTAAAGTTTTGGCACCTTTCTTGTCCGATATAAGCCACAGCCTTTGATTATAATTTGATATGTAACAACTATTTTCTCTCGTAACAACATAATTATCAAATATTATAGCAAAGAGAAAATCAATAGAAAATGAAAAATATGTTTAGCAGTTTGTGAGTGAGTTCGATTCTCCATAAATTTGACTTCTGTCTAATATTCTTGAATTTAAAAATGCCACAAGACTATAAATCATTGTCCCAACACTTCTTGGTATATTTTTCTTTCTTTTTTTTTTTTGTAATAATGATTTTCTAATGATTTTCTCTTGTTTCTTTTATTCAGATGTGCGGAGAGGGTGCGGTGAGACAATCACTCACGAATTCTGCGATCATCTCGTAGATGACGAACTGCTGTGTTTCCGTCCCCGGACTGTCTGAAGTAAGTTGATATTTCTCAAATTCAGTTTTAATTTCTTTGTCCTAAGATTACCTGAGACCGTATATAGCAGGGACGTTTAAAACCATGACACACAATTCGTATTCCACACAAAAGGCTAGGTTTCGACGTAACCTTAAATAGTGATTAATTGTCAGCGGTTGGTCGTATTGTCATGCTTGCAATACTATATAAATCGAAGAACGATAAACTAAAAATTAAAATCAATTCCTTTTTATCTACTAAATCCTGGCATGTCTTCTTATTAATAATGCGAATTCATTATGTTATGAGAATTCATTATGTTAAAAAGACATTTCAGCATTTCTTTTTCATTTTCCGGTAAACCTAATTGATGACGACAAACGACAATTTCATCAAAACAGAATCTTAATCTTACGTGGAGTCTCTGACACAGATAGGAAGAAAAACATAATGAACTAAAAGATAGGATAAAAGTTCATTTTTTCTCAAGCATTGACTGTATTTCTTTTCCGTGAATTGTATTATTCCCTCTTTTCTATAGTTTTAAATAATTGGAAGATCCTTCATTTAGTTAACTGATATAACCATATTTGACAAAAAGTTCTAATATTTAAAGATTATACAAAAGCAACTTAATTCTCAAAGAAAGAATTTGTGATTATTCGTTTTTTTTATCTATAAATATAAAATCTTTTTAAGCGTTAAAATGATGTCAAAGCTTTTCCTTTTGCGAAGTGATCAATTTTCCTTTTGAAGTAAATACTTGCATAATAACCACTCCTATAATTACTTTCCTTACTTATAAAATCTATGGTACTCATGTGACATGAATACTAGTGACGATGAATAGAAAATATTACCACTGAAATACTGTCAAAAAAAGTGATATGCTGAAATCCTTCGATTTCTACTTTTCTTCACCCGCAAACCAATTGCATATTCGTTAATGGCACATCCTTTGGCATCATTGCCATTGCGCGTCTCTTATTGCTTTGCAGCACTGTCCAAAGGGACAATACAACCAAACTAAAAACTATATGAACAACCCATTTGACAAGTTAAGAAGTTTGTGAACCAAGAACTCACAGGAGTACAAACCTATATTGATGTCAAATATTACACGGATTCATGCATTGCTTATCGAAGGTTTTAATATGTAAACTCTGAGACACGCATCAGAAATGAATGTTTCATTTATAAACAAGAAGTGAGGTTGATTGCCCTGAAATTTCTGTGTTTGATATTTCTATGTCTATTCAAATTATCTTATGAATATAATCACATGAAATAAATCTCTTTGCATATTACGTCAGGGTAAAAGTTACAGAGACGATGGGTAGATATATATAAAATAAATATAAATTCAAATCTGAAAGAAAACCTGAATAATGATAATTTTGTGCGTAGACAATGCCAGATGTAAACCCTGAGTTTTCTTCTAGGTTAATCCTTGTTTCTAAGAAGTTAATATTGATTCTTTAGGTGATAAACGCCAAAATCTTTCACACTACTATGTCAATTATGGAAAAGTCTTTAAAACACATTATGTGAAAATATTTGTACAAAAGATAAAATAGTTTAAAAGCAATAAAAACCATGAAAACATTTTGGCTATTCTCTGCTGACTGGCGTATTAAACCTTACTTTGTATTTGAGGAGTGATCAGAATGGATGTAGTATTCTTTTAAGAGGGATAGAAGACACCACAATGAAGTTCCTTATTCTTTCTGAAGATTTTCCGAAGCTGTATGCTGACAGCAAAATAAGAGTCAAATACAATGAGCACTAAAATATACAGATATTTATTATATATATCTCAGTCACAAAAAAATGTATACGCAAACACCTCTTTGCATTGCACCGATTTTCATATTTATCACTTGTGCTCAGTTCCAATGTCAATGGCAAATAAAAATACATTTATAACAAGAGTCAGCCATTTTCACTGCACGTACTTAACAACAATATGTGAAAAAGTTAAAATTGTGCATGGCTTAATGCGACTATGCTATTGAAGCTGGAATATCATTAATTAATGGATTTTATGCATCAAATATTTTTTCAACAATTTAACTTTTGTACATTTGTAATTTAGAAGAAAAACTACAAATTTTGCAAAATATTTCTAATGCACAAATGTTTCAATGTTTCTTCCATAAAATGCGCATGAAATTTTATAAAGTAAGGCAATAATTTTATTTATTTCCTTTTGTAACGTTTTTTAAGAATGAATTTTTCATTTGCTTACCATATTTGATAGTATATATTTCTTTCCAGAAATTTACCTGAAAACTTACAGATTGCTAAAAAAATATTACCCGAAAGGGATTTTACCAAAATCGCTTTTTATTATGTACTAATAAATTTGTACTAAATGTGGCCTCTTCAAATTACGTATCATACAGAAATTTGATAAAGTTTATGCAAAAGCCAGATTTGTAAGACACTCAATGAGGATCGTGCACACTACAGTATTAATTTTCTCTAAATCTTACGTTAATAATTTTTCTAGACATCCGCCATTATGTCAAATAGAATTTCCGTTTGGGTTGAACACTAATAAGAGTAATATTTCCTTTGATATATCTGCTTATATTCTCTAAATGCTAGTTATATATATTCTTACTTTTGCAGCTTAAAGCAATTCGATTTCTGTCATGGATGTTGCCGACAAAAAAAAAACACTTTTTGTTCGGTTAATTGAGGAATTCTAAAGAGGAACAAGGCAGAAAAAAGTATTTGTTTCTGTATCAGTTAAAAAGGAACGAATTCAAATAAATATTTGTTGCCATGTTAACCGGAGGAAAATCTCGAATTATTATGAGATAATAAATTTCTCATTCTTAAACAGAACAAAATGAAATCATCTTGAGAGACGTTGAGAAACGACAAAATAAAGCGGATTGCCAGTGAGGAAAACACAAACTTACACACATTTACACTTGCATATATACCGAGACGTAACTGCAAAAATATACGCAAAATTATTTCTTAAAAATGTAAAAGAAAAAACATGCGCACAAAACAGAAGGAACATGATTGTTTTATTTTAATTCTTTTAATTTTTAAAAAAAAATTTTTGCAAAGAAAAATACGAACTTAATGAATTTATTAAGATTGTCAATAACTTAATGAATAAGTTAAACAATTGTTTTCATTTGGTTGTGATGCATAGGAATTATGCCCTTGACTCAGTCTTATTTATAGTACTGTTTAAGTTTTTTGAGTTACTCATCTGTGAATCTTCGCACCATTTCAATGATCTATATAATGAACCTTTAATATAAATAATAAAGATATCCGAATGCTATGAACATATCTCTTCGATTTTGAAGTGAGCAAGACCATTATTTTTCCATTTATAAAATACTTCAGGAAAAAACTCTCATATGACATGTGTATACATTTGAAATTGACAATATTATCAATTTTTCTTTGTTTTTGTTTGTTTTTTATTTGTTTTTGTAAAATATTTGAATAGAAAAATGCTACAATTTTAATGACTTTTTTTCAAACTAATGGGGTGCAAAAGAAAATTTGGTTAGAATTAGGATTAGAAAGGAGAATTGAATGAAAATAAAATATGGAGCAAAAATAATCGTAAAGAAAATTTTGTCATGTAAATAATGAAATAATTTATAAACAGTGGAAAACATCTATGTAAAAAATTCTTTATAGAGGAATTGTAGAAATCAAGTTAAGCAGTCATCGCTTAGCACTAATTAACTGAGATAAAAATGATATTAGATGCCTGATTGGTACTCATTAAATACATGACAATTTACCTTTTGGTATATCTTAATTATTAATGGTTACACTCTCTGGAAAAATTCCGCCATTAATAACGCTGTAGCGTTATTAATGGCGGAATTAGAACAACATTACACTAATTCCTAATGGTAAATCGTGAAATATTTCCTATTTTTTTTAATTAAGTAAATTTTCACCATTTCAAATTCATTCAATTTAACACAAAATTCACTATTTATTGAGTTTATAATAAATTTTCTCGCAATGCTAGATGTCAGTTTTTAAGATTTTTAGATGTCTTTTTTAAGCAAGTTATAGTAATATGTTTCGATATATAATATAATTATTAAATAATATATTTTATTATAATACGTTTATTAATACGTTACTAACACATTTTATAATAATACGTTAATATATATGTGTGTGTATGTGTGTTGTACGCGCGCGTGTGTGTAAATATGGATGAGAATACGACGAAATGTTAAATATTAAAACAATTTCTGTAAATTCTACTTTAACATGTTTTGCCAATCAAAACATTTTATTTTACAAAAAAAAATCTACATTAGTGAGACGAACTGTGATTCACGTTAAGTGGTTGAAAGTTGATTTTTTTTTTTTACTTTAACTGTATTTAGATTTTAAATAATTCCAACTTAATTTTTCTTTCAAATTTACGCGTCCCTCATTGTTTCAGTACTACTTTATTAAGAACAGGGGCTAAACTGAGTCTGGTTCGTAGAAGATTTATAATACTTTCAATGCATCGTCTTTTGAGGCCACTCCTATTTGATAGAATTCTTGAGGTTATTAATTTTGATAATGGGAGGTTTTGTTGTTGACAGGCTCTAAAAAGCTCAGCACGGCGTATTCTAGTGGGGTTCATATTCGTGCCATAAGCAGGCCAGAAATTTGTTTTTGCAGAACATTTGCACTATATTGGCTGTGTGACTGGGAGCACCGTACTTGGTTTTCAAGGTCTTAATGAAGTTCCCATTTTTCTTCTTATCATGTATAAGACCGTCACTACATTTCAAACAGTCCATAGGAACACACAAACTATGTTGGGGAAGGTTTTTATTGTGCAGGAAACAAATCATACACTTCTTCCGTGAAGCCACTTTCAACGATATTCAATAAATGTGTATATTATGGGCTGGCATTATATATATATATATATATATATAATGAGCCACAAATAAAATACTTATGTACCACTCATTTATTTTGAGTATGACACACTAATAGAAATATAGGCAAATAGTCAATATGAATAAAATATTTTCTTAAAATTTCCACAAATTAAAAGAAGGCTGGACAATCCGATTATTGAACTTAAACCTGTAGCGAAAATTTTATTAACAATAAAACGTATTTTAGTGACACAAATAACTGTAATATTCAAGGAAATTTATTTTTAAATTAGTAGTTTAGAAATATTTTGTAACTTTTGCAGAAATTCAGAATATAACATTGACAAACAATTTCTTAGTTTCTGAGAATAATGTGAATAAAATCAAATTGTGAATAAAATCGATCACATTTTTGTTAATCAAGTACTGATTATTTTCAAGTCTATTTTCCTGAGAGATTTTATCTTAAATTAGTTTGATTTATCGTAATGAGTCCTTCATTTGACTCTGAAATCATGAATGAATATTTGATACGCAAGGATTTACCTATTTTCAAACGACAAACAAGCAATTCGGATTGAGTTCCTGATGCTCAATATTGAAAACAAAACACTGTGAAAATTTTGAGATTTGAAACATTTATTCCCAAAAAAAACTTTAAAAGAAAAAATATTCAAAATTGTTGAAACTAAAAAACAAAAAATCTTGACAGACATATATATGTGTGCCTGCATATATCTGCATATATATATATATATATATATATATATATATATATATATATATATATATGATGTCATACGTCGTATCAAAATATACATTCTCCTTGTTGCTAAGGAAGAAGTAACATCACCTTAATGACACAGGTAAGGAGGTTAAAATTGGGTTGGGCCAGAGTCGGATTCTTAAAGGGTTTGAATAATAATAGTGGCGGATGGACGAGTGGGTGAAGGATTAAAAGGGAAAATGAGGAGGAATCACCAGGAAATTGACTAAAAATATTGCGCAGGTTCTTGCTCCTTTTCGTCCACCTCTTACTTTCACTGTTCTTTGGATCATTTTTTCCTTTTCTGTCATTTCTTTTTTTATAAATTTGAGATCTTTTTTTTTTAATTGTGCCTTTATCTTTCTAATTTTCTTTCTTTTTTTTCTATTCACGTTTTGTCAAGTTTTCAAACATCCATCAATCAGCCCAACAACAACTCACACTCTCATCAATGATTTATTCACACATAAACTCTACCTGCTCTTTTTTCATTTATTCTCGCATCTGGGGGGGGGAGCAACCGTTCTATTTTCCTTTGACATTCAGTTTTCTCTCTCTTTCCTTTTTCTTTCCTTTTTATAACCTCGTCCGTCTTTTTCATTTTTTTTTTTCCAAACAAAAACAAAATTCGAAGCAAGCAAACAATCAACTCGCCAACAGACGAACCAACGAACTGACAGCGAACCACAAGCAAAACCAAACAAGCACCAGACAACCGTGGTTCACTGGACAAAGCAACTTTGGGATAAATCAAAATACTCCGACGATAAAATAGAATTTGTAAATCCTTCCAACATCAACAACAAATCCATTTACGTAATGCCCAGACGATAAAGAAATATTTATTAACATGGATGTTCAAAACAGGGTTCGTCACTGTCTAGCGTCATATATTTTGCGGTATCTATGATTACAACTGAACATATTTGTATGTAAAAACGGGAGCAGCAGAACACTCGCACACGCATATAAATGCATACGCATACACACACCTGCGCACACACATACATGCAGACACATAACATCCACCAAAGATTTGTAACTTTAATTACTGGCATATGACTTTCAATATTTGTGCAACTTTGAAAGTATGCGTGTATATATATATATATTAACATGAATATTTGGGTTTGTTTATATTCATTTATATTTGCATAAGTATCGATTTATTGTCTTCACAAATGTAAACAGTATATCGCTTCATTATATAAATAGTGTTCTGTAAGCAAACCATTAAATTTAATCTTAATTTTTTCAATTTTTCTATGATATTAATTTAACTATTGTTTTCAATGATTAGTATTTTCATTAAATCTTTCTTTATTGCATATATGTTAGGAAACATTAATAAATATCTCACCATTTAAATTTAATTTCAATGATTGCATTTCAAGAAAATAACAAATGCAAGAGCATATGTTGTAATTCGGCTTATAAGTATATACATATCTATATATTTATATTTTATTGTCTTGAGATAGATAGATTTGTAATGATAAATTCATATATGAATATAAACCTACAAATATATAACAATATATATATAACAATATATATATATATATATAACAATATATATATATATATATATAACTACATATGCCTATAGATACATTAATTCTTCTCTCTCTCTCACTCTCTCTCGATATATATACATATACATACATACATACATATATATATATATATATATATATATATATATATATATATATATGAGTGTAAATGGATGCAGAACAATATTAGTATCGAAGACGCTGAGATGAAAAATATTTTGCTGAAAATAAATGCACTTAAACAAACAGTTCTCTATTACAAAAGCAGGTTTATTGAATCAAATGTTGTTTTGCCCTATTAGACAAGTGCTCATTTCAGAAATGAGATCTCTGCGCGTGCGCGTGTACGTCCAAAGTTTACATTGAAAAAAAGAAGCGAGAAATCATTAATAAAAAGCAATAAAATACTATGGCTAATAAATTTTTGTATGTTCTCAACCAGGTGGTCTTAAATATGTACGAATAATGTATATTTCGCAGAGAAAACTTACAAAATGTGGCACGGGTTCCATATAACCATGTATAAAACAATACATGGATGGATTAACATACTTATCTGTGTCTTTGGGAAGACAGGTAAATTAACGATGTTTTCAGTGCCTTTTTTATCATGATCGTCCAGTAACTGTTAATAACCAGTGAACGTCTTTTGGTTTTTATTTTGTATATTAACTCTCGGCTAGGCTAACATGACGCCGACAATTCGCGAAGAGAGAGACAATATTTTGAACTGTAAGCGATGGTTTGACTCGGATAGGAGGTGACAACCATCATGTATATACAAATATTTTGTAGATGGATAAAGGTGTCGAAACGTGTGTAGGAATTATTTACATTAGGCAAATCACGTGACTGTGCAATTATTTACAGCTTTGAGTGTTTGTCATCGATTTCAAAATGAAAAGAGGCAAATATATAATATCTGCCGTTTTGGGCGCGAATTTTCACACAGCTACAGGACTGAAGCAAACCATTTAAAATGGCCAAAACAAACACCCAAATATATCATTTTTAGAGTGAATTTTAGAATTTATAGAAGAACACCTGATATCTTATTTCTCAGCAGTTTGGTGAAATCATTTGAAATTTTGACATTCCAAATTTGAAATCCAAGAAAATATAAACAAAAATACATATTTACACCTTTTTTAACCTTTTTATGAAAATTTCTAAGAAATTAAAGAATAATTGTTTTTTCCTTTAAATATCGTTTTGATGGCAAATCGGCTAAAATGTCTCATGAGCTCGTTAGACAAAGTCCAACTAATTTTATACCAGAAAACTATTTGCTCATTTTCTCTATAATCTTCAATTTCATCATTTTAATCCAGACTTAAGTGTTTACTATGTCCTGAAAAATGTCAATATTAATAATTTCATTTCTTCAAAATTGTTCAAAAGACAAAATTAAATTTTATCAGCCACTTTTCAAATTCATTTAAAATTGTCAGTCATAGACCGACTAAACATACTGAAAACACTCACTTTTCTTTTGTTCCAGTTAAAATAAATCTCTCTTTTTTTTTTCGTTTTTTATTTGCTTTTTCAGGTTTTCTCCATTTTTTCCAGCATTTTGTGAATTATTTTTCCTTCTTTTGTTTTTTTATTCTTCTGTTTCTTTCTTTCCCTCCCTCTAAGATTTGGGTCAATTTTTAACTAATAAATTCCTTCCATTCTTTCTTTACCTACTTTTCTCATTCTTTTTTACCTTTTCTTTCACTTCTTCCGTTTCATCTTTTATTTTGTTTTACTGCTTTCATATCGTTCCTACACGCACATACACATATACATATATATGCTGCTTTTATACTTCCCGTATTCTTTGTATTAAATCTCTCTCTCTCTCTCTCTCTCTCTCTCTCTCTCTCTCTCTCTCTCTCTCTCTCTCTCTCTCTCTCTCACTCATTTTCTTTCCTTTTGTCGCACCGTGGTCTTTTGATTTGGCACTACAGATGACCAGCAAATGAGAAAGAATTCATACATAGGTAAGCATAGACACACACCCACTCACACGCGTTGCGTGTAAGCGTGAGTGCCTTTTACAAATATACTAACATATTCACCGAAAATAGTCACACACAAAATAGTCATCACATATTTGGCTATGATTTAATACTTGATGATTACGACAGATAAGGAAAAAAGTTTGTGTTCGAGAAGCAACAACCAATGCGATTTACAGCACAAATATTTAAAACTTTGAGGCTGACTCTAGTTTTTCGGTTTAGTTTTATGATTTGAACTCTCGTGCCAGTGGGTGGAAATTTCGCATAAAAAGTTAAGAGGCATTTTTTTAATGGAAAAAAGGCGAAAAGATAAAGAAACAAGATAAATGGTTTCTTGAAGTCATTAATGTAAAAAGACGTATATTTTGAGAAAAAATAGGGAGCATATTTTGTCTCGAGATGGACATTGATGTAGCCATATATTAACGTCGGGTTCACAGATTCACAATGACGGCGCCACCATTCGTACTAAAAAAATAGCGATCTTTTTGTCTTAGTACACCATAAAGCTTGAACTTCATAGCAAATATCAATTAGTTTGTATTCAAAATAAAACACAGTTAATGACATTTTCAACATGGATACATATTTAATTGTAAAAGATATCAGTCTTCAAATGGATCTTAAATGCAGCGAATTCATTTACACGTTACCTTTGTACAACTGTGGATCAGTGATTGTATAGCAGTCTCTACTTAGACATCTAATTATAATTTAATAGTGAATTACTATTCTGATTCATATATAACAGCAGTATGTTAGTTAATTATCTTGAAAATTATTCTAAAAGCGCCATTTTAGAGAATGTACTCGTGAATGTATGCCTCGCCCTGTGCCTCTGATTGTAGATATGTCATTGAATTAAAGCAAAATTTAAAAATAAATGATTCTTCTTAGTTATCATCGTTGCAATATATATATATATATATATATATATATATATATATATATATATATATATATATATATATATTTACTTAGCAACTATATGACAGGAACATTGTCTCGTTGAATATGGGTAAATAACGTTTACAATAAGTGTATAAGAAATTGTATATAAATGTCTGTTCAACTCATTTTTGGTGATTGAAATTTCAGTTATTCGTCAACGAGATTAATTCATATATGAATACTTGTTTTTAAATCTAAGTATATATCAAAGTAGTGATGCATATCTCTCAGGCCATTAAATTACGAATAAAATATATAGAAAAATCAAGTGAGACAATGGGATTCACTTGAATACTTAATATCTTAATAATAATGAGGGAAAAGCATTTTACCAACGTTCTTTTTGCTTTAGCCAGAATGGCATTTTCCAAGTTGAAAACTTCCGATCAAGGGCTGGAAATATTCATCCACAAAGACAATACATGTTCTCAATTGTTAAAACACATCTTTTCATAGGTTATTTTTACAACAGAAACTCACATATAATTCAAAAGAAAATCTATGTGTAGTCATATGAGAATGCAAGACTTAGTAAGGAGTTCGGATAATAAACAGTCTTACTGTTAGCAATAAAAGATAGGATTAAAGTGCGAAATATTTGACATTCGAACTTCCACCACTTCAATTCGTGGAAAGAAAGAAAAAATGGACGATCAAAAATGGACCTTCTTTTCGAGGTCTATCAAGCAATGACATTGGAAATTAAACTATTTCGAAGTCGATACAATGCAAATCCATCGTATAATAATAATAATAATAATAAAAATAATAATAATTGTCCATTCTGGAAAGAAGATATATATATGTGTATGTGTGTGTGTGTGTGTGTGTGTGTGTGTGTGTGTGTGTGTGTGAATAAAGATATAAGGAAAACTTATTCATATTGTCCTTATACAGATATACCCTATATGAAATTTTACACACACACAAACACACAGAGACACACATACGTGTACGTACATATATATATATATATATATATATATATATATATATATATATATATATATATATATATATATATATATATATATATATATATATATATATATATATGTATATGTATATATATATATACCAGTATATATATATATATATATATATATATATATATATATATATATATATATATATATATATATATATATATATATATATATATATATATATATATATATATATATATATATATATATATATATATATATATATATATATATATATATATATATATATATATATATATATATATATATATATATATATATATATATATATATATATATATATATATATATATATATATATATATATATATATATATATATAAATATATATATATATAAATAAATATATATATATATATATATATATATATATATATATATATATATATATATATATATATATATATATATATTTTCATAATATATATATATATATATATATATATATATATATATATATATACCCGGCTATCAAATATATATAAATACTTTATTTATTTTTTTATATATTTATTTAATTTTTATATATTCTGATAACCAGAAAATACTTTCGAATTACCAGGCTATCACTTTATTTATTTTTTTTTTTAATTTGTTTAAAAAAAAAATACTCGAATGATATTAAATAAAAAAAGAAAACAACAGAGAAAAACACAAAGAAAATCAATTGAAATCTTCCTTATTTAATGCTGTTTCAGAAACCTCCAAATTATCACTGCCCAATACGCTCAGTTGCAACAGTTTCAAGCGTAGACGGAGAATTTGGATTTGGTTTAATCGTACAAAATTTAAAAGTTTAAAAAATCTCTTGAATATTTTTTAAAAATAGCGATTTTCTTTTCATAATGCAAAAAATGAAATAAAGTAAATTAATGAAAAAAACTTATTTAACAATTTTAATGAAACCATAAACAAAAATTCGAACCTTTGTTATCGGTTATTTTTTCACTTCTTTTTTGTGTTTTTTAATTTTTTTTATTTTTGTTTTCTCGATTTTTTGTCTTTATGGTTTTCAAAAGGATCGGTCAATAAAAATGTAAGACAAAATTTTTATTTTTCATGGGATGTTGAGGAAGATCAGGGAGTAATCTGCATACGAGTAGTGAACTACATATACATAGTCACCACATCAACTCATGACACATGCAGGATTTATAAAACACATTTGCGCATACGCGATTAGATAAGAACAATCGCCGTTTGATGTTGAAACGATGAAAAAAATTAGAAGATAGATAATTAGAAATTTGAAATTTAAAAATGGTTACAATTTTTTACCTTTTAAAGGGAAAAGGAACACTGCGCAACATTTTAATAAGATAATATGAACATGATTATTATCCTTTATATTGAGTATATGTTTGACACGGTGAATTTAATTGGACAAAAACATCGTCGCTTTTACAATTTTATTTTTGTTTGTCTTTCTAGTAAAATCTTGTCTTTGTATGTGTATTGTAGTCGATTAAAAAAAAAGAACCATATGTATGTATCTATGTACATAGTTATACCTCAAGGGTATTTAAGATTTTACAAGGACACAAATATATTGACCACAATGGCCACAGGGTGAGTGAAAATTGCACACGGTTCAAATGGTCGTTCAGAGCATGAAACTTGATCTGACCATTTTACTAACTGAATTAGCGGGAAAAAATCTGACGTCTTTAACTGCTGAACCACGCCATCCGTCCAAATGCATGTATGTAGAGGTGTATGTAAACGGGGGATGTATAACTCTTAAATGTACACATGGACTGTAGCGAGCAAAGAGATTTGCTCATAATCTAGAGGCCGCTCTTGAACCAATATTTTAACTCTGAGTATTGATAAAGAACTTAACTTTTTCTTTTTTACTAGAAAAACCTCCACATTTCTCTTGATTTAACAATACTAAGTGTATATGCAAATTTTAGTTTGTATAAATATGAATTAAGGAAGACCGTTTTAAAAATAGTTATTTTTGTTAACTTAAATGTCTGCATATTTGCCTGGTTGTTAAATTCATGCATTTGCATGCGCATATATATATATATATATATATATATATATATATATATATATATATATATATATATATATGAATGTGTGTGCGCGTGCGTGAACGTGTGTATTGCATCATGCTCGCGTGATGCTTTGTTAGTGCGATGCTTGTCTTATCAAGGAATTCTCTGTGCACATTTGATTAGATGCTTATGTTCGTTTTGTTTGAGGCAGACTGATAATGCAAATAAAATGGCAATAAAATCAACAAAAATATATTAAGAAGCTAAAATCAATGCCGGCACACACGCGTATGCATAAACGCGCGTATACAAGCACTTATATTCATGTAAACATAGATGTATGAATGTATATACATATATACATGGACATCGATTGTATATCTGTATACTAATATATATATATATATATATGCACATGCACCTACGCACAAATATAAGAATATCATCATGAATTTCATTGTTAATTAAAATCAATATATACCAAGCTTCGGAGTCTACCACAACAATTTGTTGATTAACTTTAGATAAGTTTGTAGATAGACTGAAAGAAAAAGTAAAAATATCTGATAGTAGATGCTATATGTAATGTGTGCCTATGTCTACATAAATCGTTGTCTGGCAGCTAATAAGTTACACCTTTTACTTTGTTTTACCTTTGCTTGAAACTTTTCTTGTTTTAAGAACTTAATGGCTACCATCGCCTTTGTCGCGCACATATAAAACTGTACAATAATTCAGTCTTCAATCCATTCTTTTAAATAGACCATTAATCATTATTTTCTAGCTATCAGGTAATGGCATATTTAACGTTTGCTAATCACCATCTCAGCTGACCTAGGTTTTCCCAATAAAAGCATTGAATGCTTAGCACATCAACCAGTACGAAAAAAGATATTAAGTGATCTTTTTAAATCTCCTAAGACATTGATCTTAATATTTTTATAAATCTGTTTAATATTGAATGTTCATGTATTTCTCTTAAAACCTGAGTGAAATGTTTTTCAAATGAGTAGGCAAGACCTCTATACATATACTGCAAGTCACATACTGAAATTGCAAAGTAAACACACACGTACACACATATGCGATTTACTATTGTCAATTGTTGGCTATCCAGCCTCTTGACGATAGCTTACTTCATTTGCCAATACGAAAACTACAAAAACAGGCAATTTTTCAAGTTCATCAAAATAAAGCAAAGGGTTCCCAAATGAATTTCAAGGTACCTTTTGGAATCCCAAACTAAATCTACTCCTAATCCAAAAGAGAATTCTCTTCATGACTACATTAAATTAAAAAAAAAGGATTAGATGTATCTAATTAGAAAGTTTTGATCAAATGCCTACGTACTAATTGTCCTAAATACGAGACAGAAAAAGTTATTGATATCCTGAAAGAAGATAGGTTAGCACCGGTTGAGATCACTTAAGAGTTTCACATTAAAAAAGAAAAATATGATTAAACAATGACTGTTCCCTTTTACAGGAATCAAATGTTGGATGAAACTGTTGACCAATGACAGACTATTGCACCAATAACTCCAAGCGAAGCGGTGACAACGCTTAGCACAGCCTGACATGGAGGCATTTTATACGCGTGAAAATAACATAGACGTCACAACCTTTCAGCACCGTCGTGATAAACTTGGGATGTTTTTGCTTTTAGATTCAATTACACGAAGCAGGAGGTATCAACGCAAAAGATATTAGGGAGCAGGAAAAAGCTGACTAAAAATTCTCTCTTTGAAAATATCGTTTCCACAGAAGATTGAAAGCAACTCCAAATCTTTCCACTTCCTCCACCTCCTGGAATTGAAAGCTGCTTAATTCCAGGGAATTCTTTTCACTGAGAGCGTCTATAATTCTCAATCGGTCTCCTCTTCAAGAACTGGCCAGAATCAACGTTTCGTTATCAATGAAATCAAATTTCATTACGTGGCAAGTTTTAATGTGATTTCAGCGTTTTTACCCTTAAACAAGCAAGGGTAAAAAAAGAAAAAATATACACCGTTGTGAAAAGTTCTTTACTTCTCCCAAAAAGACATAATAAATATTTCAAGTAACGAGTTTGCGAAATAAATTTTTTCATGTAATTAATTTCCATTGAAAGAAAGGGAATTACTTTAAGCACTTAACGTTACCCATTCGCAAAATCACAAATAAATTGTTACCACTGAATCTATTTAAAAAAAAAAAAGAAATCTCAATAGACATACAGAATTAAAGATAAATAAAATGAAATGATTCTTAAGAATTTCACGAGTGTTTAAATAAATTTTTAACTATATGCATTAAAATTTATCATTAGATGATTGTAAAAATGTGGTTTTCATCGAAGGATGTTAGTAAATTTTATTGATATTCATATAAAAACTGCAAGATCTTGCTGGTTCTGGTCTTGTGTTCAATCTGGTAACTACTGAAAATTTCAAAATTTGAAGTCATTGTGCATCAGATTTTATGGGTTAAATCTAATAAAACTGTTTATCGCCTTATTTCAAAAGGAGTGGTAGCATGGGAAATAGTAGAATTAACTGTAAAGTGGGAATAACAGACCAATGGCAATTATGTCGAATTATTGAAGAAAACATTGAAACGATTTTACAAGTTTGGCTCCAAACTATTCAATAATAATAATAATACCTGGGACTTTAGAAGAAATTCCAATAAAAGACTAAACTAGATTGGAATAGGAAGAAAGATTGGGAAAATTCAGATTCTCTATTGTTACATATGGAAGAATAATGAGGGGGATTTGTTGTAATTTTAACTTCTCTAAAACACAACAAAACACAGGCACAAAATAAAAATAATCTTTCTTTAACGAGTGAGAAAATGTAGAACATTTAATTTTTCAAGATTGAAGCTCAATGGATAAGCTAATCTCTAGTAAAGATCCTTGAAAGGAAAGAAGAAAGATACATGATACCGATTTGAATCTTGATATTCCGTTCCCTATAACCGGCACTGATCTGTGAATCGAAAAATTACTTGGCTTCAGAGATATTGAGAGGAGCAACACCTGGGATGAGGCGCTCAACTTTACAAGCCAAACTTTGTTCAATCTTCAGCAAGATTTGATTCGGCTTTCCGGTAATATAATAATGCCGGATTATATCATTTGTTATTGGAAGAGGATGTCATAAAAATTCGAACGATTCAAATATAATTTTCAAAATGTTTTCGGAAGTGTTAATTTGCATAAATATACCCTACTGAACAATTTGCAGCAATATATATATATATATATATATATATATATATATATATATATATATATATATATATATATATATATATATATATATATATAACAAGTGTATCAAATACACAATTTGACAGGCTGTGGTAATGTACTATGTATGCATGCATGTATGTTGGCGCATAATTATATTTATCTATGTGTATGCACTCTACGCAAACACACACACACACACACATATATATATATATATATATATATATATATATATATATATATACACACAAAAGTGACGATGTGGTTTTGTTTTTTTTACCTTGAGGCGCAATGAAACACACGCAAGAAAAATATTTTTCTTTTCAAAAATGGGAAAAGGAAAGGCAAAGAAAATAGATGAAAAGTGAAAGGGTTACAGGGGATGTCACGTGATACAGCAATTGAGTCAGATACAGAAGTTTTGATTTTTCTTTTTTTTTTCTTTCGTAAAAAAAATGAAGAAAGAAGAACATTGAGAATTGTGGGAAGACGGAGGCGTTGTTGAATTTGGTTCAGTAATCTGTGTCGTATTGGTGAAAACGGCCCTCACATGCGTAGATAATAGACGTGAGGAAAGTTACTGCACATGCGCCGATCCCCAGCCAGAATGACCAACAAATCTTGGCGCGAGACTCCTCCCTCCAGGTTAGGCCAGCTTTATACTGCTTATTCATCTGGATGCCATAAATAATAAGACAGACTCCCATACACAGGACTGAAATGAGACAATGAAAAATTTAAAGGTTAGACTGATATTTGGATAATGATGATGATGATCATTGACCTCATAATATTGAATGCGGTGAGAAGAGAAAGAAATCAGAAAGAAATGTATATTTTTGACAAGCCTTAACTGAATATAGTAAAAATCGAAGTGTTATTATCGAAGAAAAAGTTCTGAAAGTAAATATAAAGTATGTAAAATAGGACGCTAGCTGTAATGAAAATTTTGGTAAAGGTCAGATTAAGAGATACAAAAATAAATTTGTTCGGTAAACTCTTCTTGAATGTTGTGTAAGGAATAATAATTCAGAGCATGACGTACTATTCTCGGGTCATATTATCATAAACATAAAAAAAGAAAATAAGCTGAAAGTCTAAACTTTGGAAGATTTCTCTGTTTTCAGTCGAAGTAAATATGAAATTAAGTTATAAATAGATATAATGTACGTTATATATAAAACCAGGATTAAATTAAAATTTTGTTTTCCATAATCTTGGCTTGATGATTGAAATAGTAATATATTTCTTATTGTTGTCAGAGATTAAGATTCTAGCCCAGGTAAAATCCTTTTCTCGTGACAAATATGTCTTTCTTACCTGGAAAAATGACAATACAATGTTCCTATTTTATTTAATTAATATCACCTTTTGTCGTACTAAATTGAATTTAGTAAATACAAAGAAAATCGTTTGTACGCCAAGAATTGGTCATATGACGTATTTAAAAAATGGAAACTATTGATGAAATGGGAAATACCATATGTAAAACATAATATTTTTAGAATGGTATATATATTATGAATAATAAGGAAAAAATACATCTAATGTATATTTTCATTAGTCAGCATTAAATGAATGTATCCTTGAATCAAAAAGAAAAACATTTTAGGTTTAATTTTAGCTTTAATTATATTTCTCATTGAGACAAATCAACAAAGAAATTGTTTCAGATGTATAAATGGCCTTTGATTAAATATGCCATTCATGAAAATATAGGTTACCAATTTAAATTTGTTAGTCTATAACTTAATATGGCGGGCTAAATATCAGTTGTCCGAAAACATGAAAATTATTTTATCAAATAATTTGCTTGGGTTTATAAACGGGACATAACTACAATTAATTATAGGTACTAATTATTTCCCTTTTCAATGAGTAATTTTTTTATTTTTATTTTTTTTATTGTTCCCTAATGCAAGACACAAGAACCACTCATGATAGAGAGTTATTGTATGGACGTTAGAGGAGGAAATAAGTGAAATTATAAGGATATTTAGGATAGATAACGGTTGACCCTATATTTGAAGAGGTAAATATTGCAGTGATCGAGGAATCATCTCTTCGGGGTTCTATGCCATACTTGAGTGGTTCTCGAAAAGAAGCTGTCAGAATGGACCTTCTACGAATGGAATGAGAATGATTTGGTCCTATGTACTTGGCATGGTGGGTTCCAGCTGCAAATGTCTGAAATGGTGAAACTAAGGAAACTTTGCCATGGAACATTTGCCATGGAAATAGCGACAGAGTAGTGACTCTGCCCAGATATGGTAGTATCACTCTCCTTTTGCTCTGATGCCAGGAGTTAGATACTTTATGGAGCGACACAAGGGACCAACTATTTTCCCAGCTTCTATAGAGTTTGATCGCATATATGTTACACTTGAGATCTGGAGTGAACTTTAGTCCCAATAAATGCTAAATGCAACTATCCATCATGACTTCAGAAAATTCAGTGCCTGCTTTGTGATGATGGAACATAAATAGCTTGGTGTTTGAGATACTGAATTTTGAAAGTCATTTTTTTTAACTCAGCTATTTGTCATATACCGTGATATCTGCATATATATTAACTAAAGATTTAACCCCGGCCAGAACGTTAACACGGAATAAATACCTCCCACATATACCTCCAAGAAATACCTCCCACATAATGATAAGAGATTAACTAGCTGACGACACCATTGCTACTAATGTCTTACCATTATGTGGGAGATATTTCTGGGAGGTACATGTGGGATGTATTTCTGCTGCACCCTGTATAATGCAGAAATTGGGGTAGAACCGTTGGAGATAGCCTTGTAGGACGACTGCATTGATCTCATGGTTTCCAGAAGACTGGTCATTAACGACAACCTACCTGATATGAAAGAGTTGTTAATTAGAAAGATTCTTCTAGACATCTAACACAATCGCCTTCAAGATGTATTTATTATCAAGTGTTTCGCTGATTCTGTATTTAATGAGAGGACACCAACAGTAAATATCATCTGATTCCTCCAGCAAATTGTTTGACCTTTCTTTTCATTATGTTTAGATTTAAAAACAAGGAAAAATGGCAATTTAAAATCATGCAAAAGCAGAATTTGTTTATTGTGAGTACATGTGATATCCAAACTTCAACCAATGATCCATGTGTGAGTTTGCCCACTGCAAACAAATTGTAACATACAAAACAAATAAGGTATAGAATAACATTCGAATCTGTTCTGCTGATGTTTTTCGATGAATAATTTTTTAACAGACTTTTTCATTTCAGCATTACAAGCCTGATATTTTCATTTTTTTTAATTTATTTGTAAAATCTTTAAAATTCTTTTTAATTCACACTTTTAAATGAGATATTAAATAAAAATTATATTTACTAATTAAATGGAAAAGTTTAATTTTCACAAAAGACAATATTTTAAAAAGAATTTTTTTTTTTTTTTTTTTGTAGATAAAATATAGGTAACGATTTTTTTGACTGACCATTTGTTATCAAAAATAATCTTTTGAAACAGAGTAAATTTAGAACTGAAATTTTATATGGTCAATTCAATAAAACAGAGAATATTTTCTTAAATTTTTAAATTACTGAAAACTTAAAAAGTTTTATATTAAAGCTGCTCAAATCATTTTCTGTTAATTATGTTTTACAGATAAAATCCCCAAATAATCATCCTTGCGATCTGTTTCATGCTGGCAATACTCACCTCTTTTTAATAAACAGCTACTGTCAAATAAAAAATGTTTTTCTTCAGATATTTTTTCTTGCTGTTGATCGTGGCCTATTTTTTCAAATCCTATTAATTATACAACATCATCCATGAATCTCCCCATTTTAATTCATTTCTGCTCATGGCCTATCAAATTTAGTATTAATTCACGTTAATGATTATATGAAATGGATAAAGTCCATTTATTTTAAGACATTTTATGTTTATAAATTCTTTTATAAATACAAATATTCTTTCAAATTCTGTTTATAATAAACAGTAAAAAAAATTTACCATACCTGAATGTCCGATATTTTGCTAGAAAATATTCGTCATGGATGATTTGGCATTTAAACAGCATTAAATTCGACCCTTTCGACACCGAACGATCCTCCATGGAATCAGTTAAAAGGCATCGTCATCTGTATGAAATATAGGTTTTCCATCTTAAAATTTTCTATGAAAATTTTCGGACATTCATGGTAAATGTTGCATACTGTTTATTAAAACAGAATTTTAACTGAAAAATTTGTATCTTTTTTAAAAAATGTATGAAAACATAAAATGTCTTAAAATATATAGAGGATGGACCTGTAATCATTCTTTTTTATTTTTTGAAAGATTTATTAATGCTATTTCAAAGTTCTAAAATTTGATGTTTTTCTATTTAAGATTATGTATTTCTTTTGTAAAAGATCTAATCACTTAAATTGTTTTCTTTAGCTGATATTAAGCGTAAATAGTGCCACCAAATTTATAGATAATCTTGGGGTGAATATGGTTTAACTAAATCTTAAACAACGTTCTGCAAATACAAAACAAATTCAACAACAAGGAAATAAAGTCTCGTTTATGGTTTAGGATCCGGTAAAAAAAAAGAAAAGTTAATTGATGAAACCGATTTTGATTTTCGCATTGACATCAACTGCAGTTTTTACTAGACACTTAAAAAATTCTACTAGTATTGATAGATAATTTTATTTACATGTTTCTATCTAACGAACACATTTCGTCATTTCTTACAAATCTGAAATGACATAGTGTTTGTGATTTAAATAAATACATTCAATGTCTATTCTACAGCTGATGAACCAGAATCTGGTAAAAGGGTATAGATGCAGAATAAATATTACAAGAGTCCTACCTAAGGAATAAACAAATTATCAATGTTTTAATTAGCAAGGTCAATGTGAAATATTCAGTTTTTCTGTTGCATCGCAGTAAAACTTTGAATGTTGATCATGAAAATTTTGTAGAACAGAATAGATGATGAAATGCTCTCCCGACATACGCATTTAGTGTCGGATATTGTTAGTCAGAATCATTTTAGCCTTTTCTTTTTACCATTTTGAAAGATTAACAAATATCTTAAAGGAATGATAAACCCCAAAGGAATGAGTCCTGATGGAAGTTAAATTTATAATAGAATGAAAATTGTTTAACTACGAGAAAACAAGTAAACAAAAAACACCTACCCTCCTCAATCTTTCTTTCTCTAATATACTTGGTATCCGCTCCAACTTCACCAGTATAGAATCTTTTCTCGGTCATTAGATATCTTTGCACTCTCCGAAACAAACTTTAATTCTTCTATTACTACCAATGAATTCTCTGTTCCAGGCTATCTTCACCGTTGTCGAAAAGATTCCAGTATTCACATGTATGGCTTTGGCGTTTACATCCGGGATAAAGTTCCAAGTGCCAAGGGAATTGTCTCTCTTGACCCCCAGAAAACTCTTTCATCTGCTTTTACTTTTCATTATTACATTCTGTTAGCTATCCCTTTTTCCTTCATCGCTCTCCCTCTTCTCAGGACTGCAGTATATTAAACATAATATATTACAATATAGAAACGGCACTCTTTCTCTTCATCCGTGAACATCTTTGTCTTCAGTGATTTTAATGCGAACCACGACACTTGGCTTAAACATTCTAATGTCAATGATGTTGCCGGTATTCAGACATAAAATTTTTCGATTACACATCCCTTACTCAAATCGTGAATTTCCCTGCTCATTTCCCTTGCAAATTTGAGCAATAAGCTTCTTAACTTGATTTATTTCTTACCTCCTCTCCTCGCTCTTTCCGAGCTTCGCAACACTGTCCTCTTGTAAACTCGGATCATTCTTAGTATCTATTGATATTTCGTTCCAATCATCTATTAAACAGGAACCTCTAAGTCATAAGACCTCTTTTCATTACCAGCATTCTGATCAGGACTTACTCCATGGCTTTCTTCGAGATGTCCCTTGGACAGATATTTTTAACCTTCAAATTGAGGTTAAAATGTTCACTTAGATTAAAGTGGTCATGAATGCTTTCATTCCTTCACGGAAATACCAGGTGAAACCTCAATCTTCTCCATAGTTTACACCAGCATGCTCTGACGTTATAACACACAGGAACCACTATTTTCAGCTATACCAGCGGGACAGTCCCCGTCACAACAGACGCTTATTCATTTCTCGTAAATAAATGTAAACGGAGCCGTGATTACTGAGTCTCTCTATATTGTATCTAACAACTTTGACTCGCGTGATACTGGGGGCTCTTTGATAGCGTATTAAATAAGAGTAAGTTCTCTCACTTCCTTCAATCAATTTGAGGTGATAACATCTGCTGATAATGATGAATGTTTCACTCGTAACGTCTCCTTAAACTCTACTCCCAACTCATCTGGAATATCTCTGTCTAACTTCCCACTTAGAACTGAGTCTGTTGAGTGATATGCATATTAATCATTGTATGGTTTTTGCTATCATCTCTAACCTGGATACCCGCAAAGCATGCGGACCTGATGGAATCCTTGTAATAGTCATTAAGAGGTGTGCTCCCGAACCTGTTCTCTCTAAACTGTATAATAAATGCTCATCCTTCCTGTTGGAAATCTGTCTGTTATTCCAGTTTTTAAGAACTCAAGTGAACCGTCCGACCCTTCCAATAATCGGCCGATTAGACTTCTACTGCTTTTGAGGGAAGTCCTAGAGGCCCAAATCAATGCTGAGTTGGCTAAGCATATCACAACGTGGGGCCTTCTGCCGACAAGTAATATGGCTTTCGTTTCTCCAGGTCAACTGCCGATGTGCTGATGATAATTGCGGAAAGAGTCTGTCATGCTCTAGATAAGAATGGTGAAGCTCGAGCTGTAGATTTGGACATCCCGAAAGCTTTCGAAAGCGTTTGACTTACAGGTCTTCTCCACAAGCTGAAAAGTTACAGTGTCTCTGAGAACATTTTTGAACTGATCCTGTTTTTCCTATAAAACCGTGAACTGAAAGTTATCCAGAACGGCCACTCTTCCAGATCCTTTCGTACTAATACAGTGTCCCCCAGGGCTCCATCATTGGTCCTACTTTGTTTTTAAATTTCATTAATGACCTTCCCAATGATGACACAACCACTTATTCTACACCTGTCACGATTTTAAGTCTGATCAATTCGATATAGTCAAAATGGCAGCTGATGTTCAAAAGGGCCTTCAGTCTATCGTTAACTGGAGCAAAGAATGGCTTATTAATTTTGACACCTCCAAAACTAGACTGCTCTCTATTAATAATTTGAAAAACCCCTCTTTGCCTTCCATCAGTATGGCAGATGCTGACCTCCAGGACAGTGACTCGTTGTGCCTTCTCGGGCTAACGTTCTCGGCCGATATGAAGTGGAAAGACTATACTGAGTTCATTACTAAGTCATCTTCTGAAAAAGTTGGTTCACTGTGTCGTACGAGACAATTAGTCTCTCTAGAATCTATCTTACATATATATATAAGTCTACCATTCGTCCACGTTTAGAATATTGCTGACACATATTGTCCGATGCTCCTACTATTTATCTAGAGTTCCTTGATAAAATCAAAAAAGAATCAGCAATATTATTAATCCTAATCTGGCATCTCTGCTTCAGTCACTTTCCCACCGCCGTAAGGTTGCCTCCATGTGCCTTTTTTTTTTATAAATACGTTCATGGTAATTGTTCAGATATACTCTTAGCTATGGTATCTAGACTTTTAAAATTTAAGCACAGTACTGGACTGGTGACAAGGTCTCAGTCTACAGTTGAGCTGGCTAGATATAACCGTAAATTCTATGCTAACAGTTTTTTCTCGGACCTATTACTTGTAGAACTCCCTTCCGGTTCCATGCTTTCCAGTCAACTTTAAACTTCAACAATTTAAATGCAATGTTAATCGCTATCTATAATTGATACTAGCTTATTAAACAATACTACAGACGTTCACTCAGGAAAGGCCAGGCAGCGGAATTTGTTCTTTTGTCAGATCTTTACAATGCGGACTTTCCAATGGTGTCTACGTTTCTAAACAAATAAATGTTTTCTGTGAATGCCGCATGCTTTATTTTAAGCACTGTTATTATCGAATTAAACATGTTTTTTTTTCAATATAGATCAGAAAAAAACAAAAATGCGTTCTTAATTTATTTACTTCAAAAGAAAAAATATACGTACCTGCAATCATAAGCAAAACGGCAACTGCCTTGTGTGCGTTGCTATTACAGTTACAGCAGAGTGCCACTGTAGCGATCATCAAACTAATGAGGCCACATGCAAATCCGATTGAGTACAATGCTTGGGCTGCATGAATCCAAACTGCAAAGGCAGACAGAAAAATCAGAATTTATGATAAATTTATGATTCGTTCATATGAAGACATAAAACAATAGAATAAAAGAGAAAGCAATGAAAAAATGCAAACGATACAGCAAACAATCATTGTTCCACATAGAAAATAAATAGATACTTCACTATGGCATGAATAAAACAAAATAAATTATTGCTTTTATTTGTGTACAATAATCAGGTCAAGTGAGTTCAGGTCGACTGTGGGAAATGACACGGAGATTATCCCCAGTTCACGGCTCAGGAATAGTTAACTTAAGCTACTTAAGTGAATTGTTTCGGATGAATGCGAACACCTATGTCGTCTTTTCCCGGGGTTTTTAGCACTGTAGCTTCTGTGATCATGATGCCCCAGTTGTTGGCAGCATGCATCTTCATAGACACTGGGATGAATGTCTGACATCCGTTGCCCACCACCACAGATAGGTTAACAGCTATTATCCTTGTGTATCACTTCTTGTATCAAGTGTCCCAGAGCGAAACATAGCAGTGGTGGTTACGTGTGAGCTCTTGTTGAGGATCACACCATCGGAAGATCCGTAGTTTGTAGTTGAGTTCGTAGTAGTGGCCGACGACAGTAATCTCAAGGTCCCAGGAAGCAGATATCGTGTAGTTTTAATAACGGGCCGACGTTCTGTTTTTATAGCCCACCATGTAGATTTCTTCAAAGAAACAGGTATGATTGATGTTACTGTCATCGACCTGAAATTATCACAGACAATGTCAAATATTCACTGCTACTGTATTTTAAAGCTTTTAGCTTACAGTATATATTATGACAGTTGTTCCTAATGCGTTTTTTTTTTTACTTTCTTTTACAACTAAATCATAATATATACTGTTCTTAACCCTGTTTTAATCCAGTGCGACTGCTTACTTTTATAAAATCCACACACATATGAAGAAAACATAGCATTGAAAGTTATTCAATAACGTAATACAGCATTTCATTCCTATCCTGTTTTTATTCAGACAGGGCCACCTATTTCCTGGATCTCCTCTGATGCGTGATAAAGTGACTGTGACGAAGAAGATCCACAGTATTTAGATGACCGAAAAACATTAGGAATTAAGTAGAAACAAACTATATGCAACGATTAAAAATACATCTTCTTACAATATTCAAATTCAAAATATACACATTTGCAAAACAGTAAACAGATATGGAAGTTACTGAACTTTGATATAAAATGTTTAGTCTATTATATTAAATTATGTTATTAATATCCATCACTTAATTAAATGCATTGTATTTTCATAACAGAAAATCCATACTCCACTAGAAATATATATAACTACATTAACAAAGACATAAAGATATATCAATTCCCTTGAGTATAAAGTGAATATAAGCAAAAAATAAAATACATGTGTAATAACGTTTTACATATATGCATATTCTCTTATAGATAGATGTTTATGCGAAAAAGAAAAATTAATGCATCTGTAAAAGTAAATAATAAATTAAAATTAAATATTTGGTGTGCGCTAGATTTTCCAGTGATAAACCAGTTTTCAATTGTGTATTCAATTTGTAGTTTTCATAAAATGAGCTCCGGCAACATTTTCTACACCTAATATTATCTACTTACTTGTATACAATATGTAGAGTATCTGTTATAGTGCAGTGTTTACCAAACTGTCTTCATCGGCCATTGCGAAAGAGTTCGAAATTTACCGAGTGCTCCACAATTTGAGACTAAGATATGTTCATTAAATAGGAAGATACGCACATCAATGTTGAGTATGCTAGTCTCTCATGCTATAGTTAATGTGTACGGTGCGGCCATAAACAAAATTGGTGCAAACCGTCGAACACCTACGTACTTAAGAACTTATATTTTAAATATGATCTCGTAAAAAATATGATCTCATATATATTTCATAGACACTAAAACATTAATAAATTTTTGCCCAGATTTTTTTTAGATGATCACATATACATTTATTGTTTTGGAATCTGGTATTTCCTCAACATCTGAAACAATGTGATTGCGTTGTGCACCTTCTCACTGTATACAATACATAGCATTTAATTTTACGATTGTTTAAGTTTCAGTTTCCAGTAACAATATTGCATCATTTTACTGATAACTGCTCCTTTTTGAGATGTTTGCTAAGCTTATTCATATTTATGTCCCTATTTTAACCACCATTCCTTTATTCCAGAAGATTGGCGGCACAAAATTTTCTCAAAATATTTACCGAGGCAGCCGATTGAATCACGCAGTTTATTGCTTTGTCCCGTAAATTTAGATGTAGTCTGAAAACACTTCTGCTTGTTAAATGGCTATTTTCCAACCAGTTTAAAAGAATAAATTCCACACAAAGCTGGTGATGTTTTTAAATGAATGGTGAAAAATCCCCACAAAGCACAATGTTAATTTACAGCCTTATAAATAGAATAGTACAAAGCTGCAATAAGATAGTAATCAGTAATGATCAAACTTACTGAAAATGGCTTGTGAGATAATCTTATTAACCACTGAACTACAATCCCTTTGAATTATAAGTATTGGGTTCATGCCAATTAAAAATTATATAAATAGCAATGTATTTCATAAGAACGAAGCTATTGCTTATTATCAATCGGTATTGAATACATCTTAAAATTAACTAATATTAAAATTAACATTCTTCTCTGGTAAATTTTCTTGAATTACAGAAGAAACAAATTTACAACAGATGATGTAAGAAATGGTTTTAAATATGAAAGACCTACAGATATAATTTACATTTCTTGGACAGTGCAATGAATACAGGTTACATTAGACTTTTCTGTATACATGACCTAAATACATAAAAACCTACATAAAAATATTTTCACACATATATAGTTTTCCGTAGAAAAGGTTGTTCTACATTTATGGTCATTTCCGTACATCAGGCATTTTAAAAACACATAAAACAATTTCTCTACATAAAGCATTTTAAGTACATAAAGCATTTTCTGTACGTGTCTTTTTGGCACCTAAACTCATTTCCGTACATAATATGACAAAGCATTTGAGGCATTTGAATACGGTGGAAAATTTATCAGGTGGCATAAATTTTCTATCGCTAATGTACAGGAATATTTAAATTTAGCCATGACAAAAACTAGACTAAAATTAAGACCAAATTTCGCTGTTTGCCATTTATCTTCAGTAGTAGATTAATTATGTCCGATGATTGAAGAATGCAAGTGGAATATAATTTATGGAAACCTGCAGAGTGGTTCATATTTCTTCTATCTGAATGCCTCAAGTAAAAAACACTTGTTTCGGGGGTGAACTGGGAGAAGGGAAATTTATTTTCTGCTTGTCGGATACGACAATTATTTTAAGAATATTCTGAAAAAAATTGAAAGCAACAACAATGGATATTAAATATTGTCAATAACGAGTTTTACATAGAGTAAATGTAAATAAAGCATTTTATATAATAAACAATATCTGTTGTTAGCAATATTCTAAAGTTATGCTTTGCTGTTACATTTTCTGTATGTATATATGGAGACTATAAATACACACACACACACACATATATATATATATATATATATATATATATATATATATATATATATATATATATATATATATATATATATATATATATATATATATATATATATATATATATATTGTTGAAATCTTATTTTTTATGCATACTCATATTCGAGTAGAAGCTTTGGTTTTTTTAATTAAACAGTATTTTTATCCAACTACATATACCGGCCTGAATATTCGAAAAATCTTGTTTGACATGCCTAACCAGTCACCCATGTAGGACTTATAGTTACACGAAGCCCAAATAGTGTTTTGAACACAAACTCTATGCTGATTCTCGAAACATCCATATCTGCTCTGTTTCGTATCCTAACGTAAGCAGAGACAATTTATTTTAGGAAATAGATTAAATTCGACATACTTTTATTTATAAATATCCAGGCCGGTAGATGTAGTTGGATTATAACGGTTCCCCGTAGCACAGCCACTGAAATTTTATCTGAAAGGGTAGATTTCTTAGTATCAAGACTTTTGATAAGTCTTAAGACTTCCTGGGCTGTGATAAAAATATGAAATTGTGCTTAGTGAGTCAGGGGAGGTCAGAAAGGGGATGGCCTCAGTCATTTGATGTTTTTAGGGGCAAAGGTTGTGGTGAAGAGCTTTACCTTATCTGACAAGGATGAGATGGCCTCAGGGCCATTTATGATAGTAGCCACTGACGCTTTGCGTATATTCAGAATTTGGTTGGTCTTCTAGATCTCCCAGTATCCAAGAGGTTTGCTTTCGACTTTGACTTAGACTGTTCTTGCAATGATTACAGGTAGTCATAAATGCAGAAAGTGTCCTACTACACCGTTCCCGTTTCGCGTACTGAAAAATCATTCTAGGGAACGGCTGGGTTTGCCTTTGGTTTGGTACCAATTTTGACATTGTATCGTGAATGATGTGAAATGCCGAGGTGGGCGGGGATGTAAAACTTCAGCGAAGCATTATTTTTCAGGGCAGTATGTGAGGAAGAAGTCAAGGAGATTCGGCTGGGTTAGAACTGACACTGAACTGTGTTCCCGGTTCAGTGTCAGTTCGTGAGCAACGGAGATATTTCGGCAGTATATGCCTTCTTCAAAGGTTTTGTTCTAGCTTAGGGATAATCAGTGAGGATATTATCTGTCGTCTCAGCTATCTGTTGAACATTACAGTTACGTCATGCTGATGATTGAAGTAAACGATTGTGTAATTTTAGAGACGTTCTTTCGTAATGCGACGAAGTTAAACAGTTGACCAAGTCATCAACGAAACAGGAAAATATGCCTTAAAAATCTGATACTACTGAATTAAATATTTATTTTATTAAAAATAAATAAATAAGGTTCAGATATACTTCTTAATCAGTGAACAAGGAAGTTTGTATTATAAGATTTATTAATATGAAATATTACTATTTAATGATATTTATCAATATATTTATTATATATTTGTAGGTGAACATCGGAAAAGAACTGTGATGAGTTTGCAAAATCAGTTTGTTAAGAACCTGCCAGGACAGGATCCTTAACGCCTATTTATTTTATAATTTATAATGTTATACAAGTACTGAAGACTATTTCTTCAACAAGGTTTTTTTAAGCGGATAGATTTCAAGGTAAGAATGTTTCACCAAATCTAAAGCCACTAAATGCAAAAATGCTAAATTTCGATCAGAATATGAATGCTTATTGTTTAAAAAACATTGTCTTTACTATTGAAAATCCTCACAAAATATTCATTTGGAAAATTTTCCTCTTCTTTACTTTATGTTCTTCGTTGTTCGATTTTGGCAATCTTGCATAAAATTCTGTATAAAAAGACAAAAAGTCGAAATTATTATAGTTTAGATAGTATTTTCCATTACAACTTTATCCTTAACAGATCCTTGAATAGTAAAGTTACAGATTTTAACAGATTTGAATAAGTATAGGAAAAATGAATGGCTTATTGTTACAAAAATGTGCAAGAACGTTGAGATTGATTTCAAAAATTCAGTAAAGATGAATTATCAGTTCATTCCGGAAACAGCATAAATGACTGAACTAAATAAAAAGTACATAATCCGAAACGAATGAAATGAAGTGGCCTTACCGAATAAATTTGTGAAACTTGAGTCAGCGATAATTATTTTGTTGTTGATAAAGAAGTTACTTTTTGAGTTTCCACATTCCCAGTAATTGGTGGCTTTCAGTGGTGATAAGGTAACAACATATCTCACCAATACTCCTAAAACCTTTCTCGGTATTTTTGCTTAATTTAGTAATGGTGTTGTTAGTATGGTTTCCACTGATTTCCACTTCTTCGAGTCTCTTTGCAAAAATCTTCAGATGAGTAATAAAAGATAAAATTGTAACCTTTACTATTTTGCTTTCCTATTTTGCAGATCGTCTGGCAAGATCCAGAAGTTTGTTCAGTTTTTAAGCATCTTCTAATTTTACTCTCTGGTTTATTGGAACATCGGCATCGACTATCTGATAGATATTTATTTCGTTGTCTACAATGACCCGTCTTAATCTAAGGGTCCAATATAATTAGACATTTTATTCGCTGGAACAGATCTTTTATATATGCTACGGTTTGAATGATCAGATTCCAAATGACAGAACCCTGCATAATCTCTCTGGGTCAACATTTCCACTCATTCATATCTATTTGAGTATTTCTTCTGAGCCAACTTGTTGCATTTGCTAATTATATTATTGATGTACTCATCTCTCTCTCTCTCTCTCTCTCTCTCCTTCTCCCTCTCTCTCTCTCTCCTTCTCCCTCTCTCTCTCTCTCTCTACGTGTAGTCATCATTTATCAATTTTGCTTTGTCCTGTCTGTCTTTATATTCGTTATTTTTATAGAATTGTCCTGGCCCACCATTAATAGGAATTTGATTTCTCACTTCCAATATCCTCTGCGTAACTATATCTATGCCATCTCATCTGGTATTCTTTTTTTTCCTTGAAATATCTGCGCAGTATTTAATTTCTCATTTTGGAAAGTCTCTATCCTGTTTTTATCTTTTTTTTCTAATTCTGTTGTAAATTGAAACCATCATAATTAATAGTTCATTAGTTTTACTACTATTAGTGCTACAATTCTTCTTTATGAAGTTGTCAAGTCTGTTCATAACGAAATCTATACACTTCTTAATGCTAATGATTTCTATTGTCCACTCTCTCTTTTTCAAATACAGTCCGTTAACATCATCCAGGGGAGACAATGCTTTATGCATAGGTTATTTTCATTCAAATATCTCAGTTGTTTTTCTCGACTTCAATTTAAAAGCGGCTCGGAATATCTCACATTCGATATGCATGTATTATTCTTTTTGTTTTTACTGTTGTATTTCCAAAATCTTGTTAAATTTTTGTGTTTTGCTTTTTTCCATTTATCTGTTTGTAGAATTTAACATCCGATTTTATTTGTGCTAGTTGCCTATGTGTCATTATCTAAGGTTATTTTATAAGGTTTATTAGAAAGTATCTGTTATTTTATAATTATTTCTGCTACTCTCGAGTTGTATCTGTCAACGCTCAGAAAAAAATAACCGTACAATGATTACATGTAAATAATCAAAATAGTATTTTAAAAATCGTCAAATAGCGAAAAGAATGCAGTTTGGGAATAGTATGTATGCACATTTTTTAAATACCAGAAACCAAGAAAAACCGGAGAAAACATATGTCCTAAGTAGGGATTTGTGTTCGAAACATTAGCAATGATGAATGTTTCACCTTTTTCGTTAATCCACACGAGCTTGATTACGATAAAATATGCAAATATTACTTTCCACAATCTTTTTTTTAATATTTCAACCTGAATTTCTGGAACGGAATGTTACTATCATACATTCATTTATTCGTAGTAGATTCTTGTCCATTTATCCCAACATACAAGAATTCGTATACTTAGTCATCAAAGCCATCACCATTATCATAAAGGAAGCAATTAGAAAAAAAATTAAATTCTTGAATACGAGATAAAAACCAATGATGACTATCCCAACATTTCGGTTGTTTTACTCGCCAGCCTTCCTCAGGTGTCTGCCACACTTAGTAACCTTGCTAGAATCGAGAAATGTAAATCGGTTGCAAAGTGATTAAACCGAGGTTGTTAGTCGAAATGAATCATTTTATAAGAGAAATATTCTAGTCACATCAATACCAGTTAAATTCTTGTTACAGCTGCTAATGTTCTTTTTCCCAATAAACTAGCAATAAAATAGATAATAAGAGTGATCCAGTACAAGTTTCCTTCGCTATAATACCACACACAGAACTACCGAATGAAATTGCATACAAATAACGTACACTGACGCACGTTTAAATACAATCACACATTCTCAAAACCATAGAATCATATACTCGCACAAATACACATAGACAGATAGATAGATAGATAGATAGATAGATAGATAGATAGATAGATAGATAGATAGATAGATAGATAGATAGAAAATCTCTACATTTGCAGATACGTGCATGCTACCGAGAATACATTTGACCAGACGTAAAATATTGATACTAATTTTAATCAACTCCTTAAATATGAACACACCTTCAGGTTAAGCCGACAAAAGTTACATAGTTATTATTTCAAGGACGAATAGGTAAATATACAACTAGGAATTAGATAATGGCAGGTGACTGAATTTTCGTATAACTTGCGCATGCGCAGATTAGAAAATCCGACTGCCATTAGCAGACATTGATTTAGATATTCTATCCTATCTTTCCGAAAGCTATTCTTTCTTTGCCTCATGTTATTCTTACGTACATACGCATGATCGCACACTATAAAATTTAGTTTCTTGCCTTCGAGTATTCTTTTTTTTATATCGCATTTCTTTCTAATTTGTTAGTTTTGATTTTCATTTCTTTATCAATTGTTGGCTGTTGGCTTTTTAACAGGGTCATTCTCCCACTGAAAATAAAATATAAAATTGCTTTTTTACCAGTCTAGCTTTAACGAATATTTTTCTTTTCTTATAGAACATTTCTTTCCTCGTTACTTTCTACCTCTCTCTAGCTTCATTTTCCAAGTTTCTTTCTTTTGCCTTTCATTATTTTCTTGCTTTTACTTTTTTATTTTAAGTTGAACTTAGTACATTACAATGTCAACTAGAAATGTAGTAAATGAAAGTAGGAATATTTTTTGTACCAATCTTCCAAATAGAAAGAGCATAGCTTTTAATTAGACTCGAACACTAACTAATAGCGCCGATGGCAATTTCTCAGTTATTCAATCCACATTTTGCTTATTATAGACACTTGCCTTCCTTCACAACTGCACTCGCGTACACACACAATAATTTTACAACCACTTGATATGGTTGACTTTTAATATCGTGAATCATTTCTTTTAATTTTTTGAATAACTAGACAAGACAATCTTTAAAAATCTATTTTACTCTCACATACATTTTACTATCACTCATTTTCAAACAAATCGAAATAAATGCTTTTAGGTTGTAAAAATTGCGTTTTAATTCTTATGTCACAATCTAGCTGTAGACATATCTGTGTTTTGTATCTACCAACTTGGTTACATCTGATGGCATCAGTATACATAATGGAATTCAGTCTATATTTTCATGTTTCAAATTATGCACGGTTGTTCAAAGAATATTTCACATAGATTCAACTCGTTTATTTGATTGAAGATCATATTTTAAAATTACATATATGTTTCCTAAAGAATTTTCAGTAATATTCATTTTATCTCTTCCGCTGTTTTTGTAGGAAAGGGTGAGTGCAGACCGGTCCTGAAAGTCGATGTCTTTGACTAAACCGGTCAGATTATGACAGGAACAATTAAAGATATTTGGCTTTTCATCAAAGGAAAATATTTTCTAGAGTCACCTTATTTATAGTTGCAGATAGTTTGCGTTTAATAAAAGTAAATGTTGAAATGCCAAATAAAAACTTTTTATTTGAAAAAAAGAAATAAATACTTGCTTTGTAAGTAGTATCTTTTATTATTCATCGTACTGCAACATGGACTAGATTTCACCAGCCTTATAAAAAGAAAAATGCAATCAAGAATTAGGCAACTATTTCCTTTGAGAGGAGCCACAATGTCTAATTTCCAGAGTCACAGCTATTTACATGGATAAGTCAAAATTATCCGCACTATCGCCATAACATATCTTTAGGTTTGTCACATTGCCTTCTGCATATGCGTGCTTATAGTTTGTACTATTTTGGTCAAATTATCGATGTTTTAACTTGATCGCGCCAATTTTCTTGCTGCTGTTACAGTGTAAATATGGCCGCTCAGCTAGCAGTGTTCACCAAAGAGGAACAAAGAACAGTGAGTACTACATCGAATACATTCTCGGTTGAAGAATACAGAAAGAAGAAAATGGTTGTAGCTGTGGGGAAATTATTATTAGTATCATTATGACGATGTTCCTACTTATTTTTCACGACACGTGCGTGATTTTTTATTTTTTGTAAAATATGGCATCACTAAGTTTGTCAGCTCCTCTGCTATAGTCCAGATTTTGTTCCCTTCGATTTCTGATTTTAATTACAGTTCAAAATGTGAAAATTACAGGCAGTAGACAGGATTAAGAAGAATACAACGAGACAGGGGATGTTGATACCGAAAGAGAACTTCGCAGACTGTTTTTAAAGGTGGAAGGGCCCCTGGAACATATCCTAGAACTTCTAAGAGGATTGTTTAGGAGGGACGAAGACGAAGGTGAAGGTTAAATATTTCTCTTTGATAAAAACATCCAATACCTTAACTATTCCTGTAATAATTTGACTGTTTTTGATCACAGGTGTCAAATAGATAGATAGATAGATAGATAGATAGATAGATAGATAGATAGATAGATAGATAGATAAAAGCAGCATGGGAATAGAACACTGCATGGTGACTTTCAGTTTCACGCCTTAATCAATCATCAGACTGTGTGTGACTCCTCTTTTTTAGACTCTATATATTAGCCACTAAGAGCTTATGGTAAGCGGTGGAAGGCGGAAACCGTTTTCACCCATTATTTTGTGGAGTTTGCTTGATATTACGAAGCACTTGCCGATTAATTTGATGAACATTTCCCCTACATTAATTTTTACAATTTTATGATAGAATGAGTTGAATCATATAATGGTTCTTTTTCTGTTATATTTATTGTTTTGCTTCGCTGTTAATCTTAGTATAACGAATTTATTACTCTCCCTTCATAAATATACCAAATTTTAAACAATACACACAAACATACATATACGCAGACGCACACACACACACACACACACACACACACATATATATATATATATATATATATATATATATATATATATATTCTAGTCACCTGAAGATCGCAAGAACATGAAACTTAAGCAACTCGTGCTACTCTTCGTTGAGTGTTGACGTTGTGAAGTGTTCTTTGTTCTGTCTAGATAGTCTAGACCATGAGAACTTTAATTTACTGCGAGTAGGTGTTTGCCTTTTTCCTTTCGAAAATGTTTTTCTTGACTAAGGTTTTGGTAAATTGTCTGTTTTTTTCACATTTGAATTTAGAAATTTACAGAAAAAAGATGATGCGTAGACAAAACATTTCGGTCTCAACATAGACAGAGCACCAAAAACAACACATTGATTGGCGGAAAAATAACAGCTTCTTACGCCAACTGAAATTTGCTTAGCAAATCTCACACTTACCTCACCTATCCACGGTAAGCGCAAATAGACGGGACAATTCTGGAGACCAGTCGGCCTAGGCTTATGAAATTGTCGCATTTTTTCCCTAATGCTGCACTCCAAAGGGTAACCATTCTCGCTCAGAAATCTAGCTTCAGAATCTAATTTAGTTTACATGCATATGATCAAGCCTCGATAAACCAAGGTTTTAATCAAAATGACTTTCAGCTGTTTAGAACAGAAGGAAACCCACTGGGTATATCAAACCATAAATGTTGGTTTCCGGTACACTGATGTAAGAAATCTTGTACTTGATCTGTGTACCATGACATCAAGAAAAGGAAGAACACCCATGTAAAATGCAACGCCGGGTGAAATGTTTTAAATGCTACATAGAAAACGCCAATTACAATCTCATTTTCAAACACACAAAAGGTAATAATACTCATATCTAACATAATACCGATCTTGCTCAAAAAAGGGCAGATATATACTAGCCATTGTTGGTCCTAAAGAACTGCCCATTGTTATCCCGTCTATTTGCCTACATGAAAGCTGAATTCCACGGAAATGATGGCGGACTTCATCAACACCATAAAGGCAGCTTCAGGAACACGTAGTGGCGACTATTTGATCCGGTACAACGCATCAGCGCAAAAATCAATAGTTTGTTGAAACGGTACACAAATGAAAAAATACATATATCAAATGAGCACATAAACTTACCCCAGTGATGAAAGGACAGTTAAACATATTTTCAGACAAAGTAAATGAGTTTTTAACACAATTACTGGTATCACATTCCAGCACAAGCTAAATGTCATTTTTTGAAATGAACATTACAATTTCTAATTTTTATTTTCGACTTTAAGTGTAAGTTTGATCATAAATTTAAATTCAAAATTAGATTATAGTGCAATTAAATATTTAATAACAGTAATAATTCATCCAAACAACATCACGAACTCGCAAGACCCAGAAATATTAACCAAGCTGTAAACAACGTTCAATACCTGAAGATAGCACCAGACATGAAACACCGAGTTGTACTGTCGGTGTGGGGTATTATTTATTTTTTAATATACATATATATATATATATATATATATATATATATATATATATATATATATATATATATATTATAACATAAATATGTTATAAAATCACTGCAAAAATAACCATGTTGTTTCAACACCTCCGGTGTCTCATCAAATGATGATGTTGAATGTAAAATAAACCCAGATTTATTTTACATTCAATATCATCATTCGATAAGACACCGGAGGTGTTGAAACTAAATGGCTATTTTTGTAGTAATTTTATAACATATTTATGTTATAATTTTTATATAAATAATTATATCTGCTCTACTCTGTATTGAGCACACTTTTAAGAATAGTAAATGTTGGTTATTGGAATTTATTCTATATACACCAATCGTATACTTGTATATATATATATACATATATATATATATATATATATATATATATATATATATATATATATATATATATATATATAATTATTTTTTTTTAAACATGATTCCATCGCGACACAGAGATTACTATATTTCGAAACTTGACTCATATTCTAAAGTTCAATTTCAATATTAAACTTAAAATTTAGAGTACAGTTTCCTTCTGAAGCGATGTTTAGAATAACTAACTGAAGAAATGTTTTATTCATTTATAGGTTGGAAATGGAGATGTAATCTTTTTTTTCTTTCGTTATCAATGGGCCACTACTGTGATGAAAGTATGAATCTTTATTATATGTCAAATTTTTGGTTTCGTTGTTGGGGGATTTTTGTCTGGCGAGAACGGCCTTTTTTCCGCAGGATCTGTTGTTTTTATTACTATTCGTTAAACTTACTGATTGATGTTCTAGTTACAGTCTTTTTGGTGTTTATTTATTTGTTTCTTAAAGAGGTGCTTATATATGAATGAGTTGTATTTTTAATCTTGTACTTTTATAGTGTCTGAAATTAATTTATTTTCCATATAGATTTTGTATGGTATTGTGTATTTATATATGGTATTATGTAATTTTTTTTTCATTAATTTATAATTTACTAATTTTTAAGGCGTATATTTGGTGGTGTTCGCAAAAAACCGTTATTTCTTTGGTTTGATTTAATAAATTTTTGTTTTTTAGAAACTTAACGTGTAGTTTTTCATGTAGGCATAAAACGCATGGTCATCCCAGGTTCTAAAAGCATGGTCATCCCAGGTTCTACTACCAGAGTAATAAACCCCAACCGAAATCGGAAAAATAAGCAAAAAAAATATAGAAAGGATTATCAAGAAAATTAAGGATTACCTGGGATTAACACTCTGGATTCATACCAAAGAGGTCACCAAATGGTTTACCAGTTTTAATGACAAGCCAATTTGTACCCTACAAAACACCCTAACATCAGTTATATAAAAAATAACAGTACAAACCAAAAGAAAAACAGAATCATAAAAATCATTTGGTACACAACTAAATGCACCCCCACCGTTCAACCAAATGGTTAGTAATAAAATAGGACAAAAATCCCTAGCTTTAATCGAAAACAAATTCCTAATATCAGTAAACTTAGCAAGATTTTTAATAAAAGCACCGTAAAATTAAGTTACAGCTTTACAGAAAATTTAGAAAGGATTGTAAGAAAACATAATAATAAAATATTGAAAAAATAAGCTAACTCTTGCCCTGAATTCTGCAAGTTTTCCTTCATGGAAAGGTAGCATCTTTGGTTCCAAATGAGGTAATTGCAAAACATTTATTGTACCGTCTGATATGCTTGATGAATAATTCTGATTCGTCTGAGTTCCCATCCAGACGTGATTATGGTTCTGGAGGAACCAGTAGCTCTTTCAGCTTATTTTTCCTTTGTTACAGCACATCCCATCTGGTACATCCTTGAATCTGAGAGTATTACAATGCTTAAACTGAGTGATCATTGATCCAATAGATATCTTCCGATAATTTGAAGAGTCACTGCCATAGTTTTATGGAAAAGGCTTTAAAAAGTAGCTGCAATCCTTTTGGCGTGATTTTAATTATCACTAACCTGTCTGGAATGTCTTTCATCAAATGTTTCCAAAGATCTTGCTCTTCGACGGTTTGATATTTTGAACTGAATTTAAAACAAAAGATTTCAAATTTACGATTTTTTATGTCACTTTATGCTCATTATAAGTTAAAAACTTTTAAAATCACTAATTGTTTCAGTTATTTTTAAATTTGAATTTTTAACTGTTCCCTAATCACCAAACACCAGATGAAGAGCAGATTTTCAATCCTGGAGTCATTCTGATTTCAAAAAGGTAAAATATGTCTATGTAGAACAAGTTAGAGGGGTTTTAAATACACGGAACCGAAAGCATTTCTTCAACCGCCCATGTATTCACCTAAATGAAATTTCATTAAGTTTATAAGATAAGAATCTTCGAAACTGTAGACTTTCACCCCCCACATCAATTATCTTTGCCAATCATCTTGATTATCGAATGCTGTCAACTGACCTATCGCTTATAATGATCAAAAGCATTATTTGCTGCATTTATCTTTCATTCCTAGTCAGAGTGATAGTTCAAGTATCCATCACTCTATATAGTGAAGCTAGCACATAAATCAGTGTATGAAAAATATTTCGTTTTATTTCTCCCAAATTTACTGTTTTTCTTTTATTTCTTATTCTGCGTTTCCAACCACTAGTTATTAGTTAATCCCTATTTTTAATTCAGGTTAAAAGTAGATTAGACCAAATAGAGGAATTGGCAGAAAATTCACAGAACATTCTGTCGGATTACAAAATTCTAATCCTCTAGCTGTATGGTTTACACTTTTGCTTCTCTCTTTATACTTTGCTTTCTATAGATGTTGTAATTCCTTCTTACTGTATCACTGAACTCTTTTTTTTAGATTTGATTCTATTTATTTTTTTTATTTTTACGTAAGTATCAGTATGCCTATCAATAGACAAAAAAAAATCTGCTGCCATTCTCAATGTCATAAAGCTCATGGAAATAAACCACAAGATATAAACACAATTTAGACAGACTACATTTATTTATCAGACAATCCTTACTTTGATTTCAGAAGAAATCTGACTACTTTCCAATCAATTTTCACATGCATATTACAAGTTTTGATTGACACACAATTGAAACAAGATAACGATCTAAAGAATCCTCTCGGCGACACTGTGCTGAAC